GGTTACATTAAGTTGCTGATAAAAAATTTGAACTTAAACTTCTCAATTTGGTCTAGAGAATCATGCAAGGCAGCACAAATCCTCTAGCAAGTTCCAGCATAGGCTAGCTGCATCTCAGGCCTGAGTGTGCAGGATAAGAATATGCCATCTATCTGCACACTCCTTTCCAAAGCAAGCAGATGGTTGACACAGACAGAGAACAAATGGGAACTCAGTTCATTTGACCTCCAAGAACAACTGTGGTAAACTGCTTTAATGCTGATGCTGGTGGTGTTGCACATATTTGTCCTAAGCAACAAGCAGGACCCTCATTTTGACTGGAGTGTTACGGCCAGATATCTCTCTTCAAATATTCTGTGCCAAAATCTCAGCCTACCCATCAAAACTTATGCAAAGAAGACAGGCAGTGCCCAACTGGGAGAAATGCTGAATCCGCACCAGAGGGACTGCTGGGCATGGACTGGATCCTGGGAACTGCATTAACCAGCTGGCACAGTGTTACATAGAGCACAGTTTGGGACCCTACGTCCCTGCCCCATGTGCCAAGTGTCACAAAGCCTCCAGTGCTTTGGGACATTTTACAACTGAAGTTACTAAAAGTTTCTGGTTAGCATTTTGTATGTTTTAAAATAAAATGTTCAGCAGAGCTGAAATTTACTAATTTTGAAAACTAAGCCATCTGGAGCATTAGCTGCTTAATTACAGCAGAAAAAGTCATGAATGAACAATGTGAAACACTTTCTATTTTCCATTGCAGGATTCTTGATAAAATTCTTGAGCCTTTTTATTCCTTGATTAAATAAAAAAGAAATTAAAAAAAAATGCAAGCAGTCATGTTGTGATATTCCTTCAGCATAGTTTTTCTGTTTTCCTTTTTTCATAGGGTAAAAAATCCCCAGAAAATCAAAGAACAAACCCTTCCACCCAAAAAACCAACACCTAAACCTTAATTATGTAGTGATAAAATTCAGTCTGTCTTTACAAAGCAGCGATGACAACAATCACCATATATAGATGAGTGCAGAAGAAAAATAATCAAAGAAAGATATTTCATTTCTCAGTTTCTTATTGCATTTAATGCAATTTTTCCCCACAGGGTTATAAATCACTTATCTTTTTGTGCTTTCATTCATTCTAACCATTTCTGATTCCAGGTTAAAACCCAACTTGAAACAATGTGGACTTGATGAGTTTACTCTGCTTGAAACAGGGAAGCCTTTGTCCCATATGCCCTAGGGAACTTAAAGCACAATGCTCCTATCCTCCTTTGCCATGAGACCTTCAGTCAACATTCCCCATGGTTTATGACAACTGAACCAACAATTAGGCCTGAGGCATTCAAGCATGACATTTGAAATAGAGGGTGCATTGACATGTGTGAACCCTGTAGTGTTCCGAAGTTGTCTCCTGCAATATAAAGGTACAAAGGTAAATTTAGAGGTTGCTGCTACAACCAATCATTTTCCATGGCTGCTTTTTCATGATTGTTGTTCTGTGAAAGAGTGAAATCTAGAAGCTGCTCTATATAACATGAATTTTCCTGCATTTTTGAGAGGGGAATTTCACCAAACATTTATAAATGTTTCCCTTCTCCCACTCTGATGCCACAGTGGCATCTAAAGCACTAAAGCACTCTTCCACCCTGTCCCAGGGCATGTCCCAGCCCTGAAGCTGTTCCCTGTTGCACGTTGATAAAGAATGAATGCTACCTAACAGGTTTGTCCTGAAGAGAAACTGTCTGATATAGCAGATTCCCAGAGCCTGCAATGCCTGTTCCACCGAAATCCAGAAACCCCAGGTGCTGGTGCGACTAGTCAGGGGTGTTTAAAGCAGCCCCTGAGATGTTCTGTATTTGCCCCACTGCTCAGTGCCTGGGGGTACCAGAAGGAGGGAAGACTGAGTTCAGGAGCAACCAGCTAGTTAAAGAGGCAACCGCAAAGCAGACTGAAACACCGTTTCTGCACATAGGTATCTCTGGGTGTACTTGAAGGTCACTTAACTGACGCTGGGGGAATGGGGTGGTGATGCTGTTGCCAGCTAGCTTTTCCGTGGTCATTACTGCCATTTAGCGGTGAGGTCTGCCAATAGATGAAACAGCTTTCCTACTGGGAAGGCCACACCTGGATGAATGGTTGCGTGTAGATTATCAACAGCATCATTTGGGTGGTTACTTTCAAAAACAAAAGAGTTTTCAGAGTGCTGTAAAAACATATTGCGAGATTCTGAGACCGGATGGATCACTAATAATCAGTATAAATACAGGATGGGAAAATAACAGCAGCCTACAGATTTATCAGCTGAAAGACTGACAAGAAATGAGGATTGCCCAGCTTCACAGGGGAAAGAATAGGCAAAGAAAAGAAAGAAAAGATATTTCAATGCAGAGAGCAAATCACTGATAGAACTGAACTATATTCCCACTTCAGACTGCTAGGACACAGTCACTTGTATACTCCTAGGTAATAAGTGGTTGGAGATCATTCCTGCCCATCTGGCAACAGTCCTTGACTAGTTTCAAAATGTGTATAATGTGACATGTATTACACAGCATTCTTCAAAGACTTAACTTCACGTGCTGTGGTTGAAAATTCCATATTTTTGATAATGGCAGAAAATACTTTGGCTATATTTGTGCATTGCTCAAATACATGACATTTCTGTATTTTTTATATTGCAATCAGCCTAAAAGCTCATATACCAATTTTGTGCTCACTGTTTTGAGCAAGTCAGTGCAAAACTTGATTTGCTTTCACCCATCTGATTCAGGGAGAGTGTAAAATATACTTGTTGCACCATTTTCGCATGTTACAGTAATTTCCTCAGCGCAACTTCCTGGAGCTGAATCAAGTGGCTGAAAACAGCTAGCATTCAGGACTCCTACCACAGCAGACAGTAACAGAAAAACACCCTAGAAACACTAAAACAGAAAGAAAAACAGGCTGAATAGAAGACAAGCATTTCTTAACTGTTCATTATCTTTTCTTTAACCTGTCTCTGAAACAAAGCAACACCTGAGACATGGGGAGCTGTATTGCAGAAACGACAGATTAAATACTTTGGAGTCCAGATAACCTGCTACAGTTTGAGTTTTGCCATGGTTCGCCAGGGGATTTTCCAAGAGATACTGAGCAAACTAGACAACTGCTACACAAATCATCTTCACAGGCTTTTACTTTCACTGTGTTCCATCTTATTCTTCCATTTGCTAAAACTGTATCTCACACAAATGACGTACCATTTTAATCAGTGTAAATGAAGTAACTGAGAATGTAATGCGTTCCTTAAACACACCCCATACAGCAAAGCATTTAGGCATATGCTTACCTTTAAGAAGGTGAATCAGTCCAGTGGATTACGCCTTGCTAAAACTGAGAGTCTAAAGTTAAGCTCATGCTTTTATACTTGGATAGACCAAGTTGCCACTTATGCATTTTTCCCTGTTTGCTCTCACGTGAGGCTTCTATTTAAATCACCTGCGCTGTTTGCACACCAGCGCTGTGTAGGTGAAACATGCAGCTGCCGCAGTGCAATCACTGACAATGTCTTAGCTCTTCAGGGTACTGAAACAGGTCTAGGTCTTTTAAAATCATTGATTCTACAGGAGGTGACAAAGAGAGGCAAAACAATTCCTTTGTAATGCTCAAGAGTCTCTTCAATTTATTAGGATGACAAACAACGACTGCTAAGCTTTTTTGCAGCCTGTCATTTTCCTGGATGATTTCCAAGTGTGAGTGGAAATAGCAGCAACAGCAGTTGAGGTTTATCTGCAATAGGATTACCAGATTTCCTACAATAGTTCTTGGAGGCAAATCTCTCTATTGTGCTCCAGTGGAAGAGATCTGAGACTTGCAAGAGAGGGAAGTCTTCACTACAGCTTCTATTCAACAGCACCCACTTTTTTCCTACTATGTTGCACAACCTGCTGCCTTTGCCTTCTCACCTGCTCTGCCCTCATGTGCCTCTTTTCTGTTATTCTTGTGCTGGCAAGGGAGCTGCTTAATCTTCTGGACTGCTGTGCCAAGATGCTTCACCCTTCCTCCCTATATCCCACAAGGCAGTGGCCATATTTTTACAGTTTTCTGCCTGCAACATGTAGAAAGCCATTTCTTATACCATCCTGCCTGTTCCTGCTCCCCAGATTCTTAACTTATGAATTCAACTGATTTTTCCACGTGTCTTCTTTTTCTCCATGGTTAGAGTTTATAAAGGAAAGATACGACAGAGCAAAATTGATACTGTATTAAAAAAAGAAGGTATAAAGAAGTGTTTGCAAAGAGAGCGAGTGTACTCCTGTCAGTCTTTCCATGGCTTGCATGATATGATCAGTGCAGTAATTGGGGCTTCCTTAATGCCCATTGTGGCACATACACTTCCTGTTACATGGTCCTTCCTTCTTCATCTTTGGCATGTCAAACAAGTGAGGGCAGCGCTGATTATGGCTAGACTGTACTGCAAGTAGTCATCCCGGCCACCAGGCAGCTGCCAGACAAAATGGATATGGCTGTTCTCCCTACTTCTCTCTCTAAAACTGGTAGTGCCAGTATTAGAGTTACAATTCTTTCCTTAGCTGTCAAAGGTATTAAATATATGGGAACTTTGTTTCCTGAAGACCTCTTCTGTCTGTCAAATTCAGTGAAAGCTGACCAAAAAGGAATGTTATTATGAGAAAAGGGATGATGAGAAGCAAAGCAGTCACACAGGTCTTCCTTTCTTCAGATAAAACAAATAAACATATGCACACACTTACTTTCCTAAACTTCTCCAAATTCATTTGACCTCCTAGGCAGTACTTTTGGTCTTGCTACCCATCACCCTCTTCTGGACTTCAAAGTCACAGTCCCTGCTGTCTGAGTACCATATATATATATATATATATATATACATCCCCAAAACCCCTGTAATTTAACCCTTTCACATCTTGAAGGAAAAAGCTACATGCAATGTGTGAAAAGCTACATGCAATGTGTGAATATTAGGGAAATAACTGATGTGCAAGACATAGAAATAAGCATTGATTCAGCTAATACCCTTTACAGTGCAATTTTATCTAATAGCCAACTGCATTTCAGCATTTTAAATTCAAAATTTAATGCTGGAAGGAGGAGGAGGTCAACTGTACTTCAATCTCCTTGCAAAACCAATCACTACAGAATAGTGGTATAATATCTAGTAAAGTACAACAGAAGGACTGAACCCTGCAGTATATTTGGTTTTACTGACCTTTGCTTTGCAACCGTACATTCCCACTCCCCTTACTATAGACATTTATTCAGATTTTTTTTTTTTAAGGTACTACTTTTATAAACAGTCTCTGGATGTTTGCCTCAAGGGGTTACTCAATTATTTATAATGCTAATGCAGATAAGCAATATATTCTGAGGAGGATATACCATTAATTAACATGTCTTCTTCCTTATCATTACCTTATTCACATTTTAATCCCTTTGTCAAGGATGTTGCATTCATAAATAACTCTGGCAAGCGACTTTTGCCACACTGTAAAACACAACATTTGTTGACTGGAATGTAAAACAGACTTTTGTGTCATCTCTCCTTGAGCAAGAAATCTCATTTTAATGTGATGTCACATACCTAAATAGTTACTTTGGAGTTTATTTTGAAATGCATCAGTCACTGTAGACTTTATTTTTTCTTTTGCTATCATACAGGCCAGTAAAGTAAGTGCCTCTACATTAACTTTTATTTTTTTGCTGTAGGGAATTGCATTATTGATATTGCTACCTCTCCCAAAGTCACAAATAATTTATTTCATTTAAGTTCTTGCTCAGACTAATCAGTCCCAAACTACCAATTCAATCACTGATGCTGAGATGAACTCATTGCCCTCACATGCTGAGCCAAACAATTTTCCAGATTGCACTTGATAGATGGTTCCCTAAAATGTTTATAAAGTTGAAAATGTAGGATTTTCATTTCATATATTATAATCTAACAGAATATCAGATGGACCTTCAAACTCCTTATTTCATTTACATAGAGCTCAGTCAGATACCCTAACAAAACCTGTGGACTCAGTTGGAGAGTGTCTTCCTCATACTCTGTAAACACGACAGAAAGGCTCAAGCCAAATAAAATGATAGTCAGGATGCTATGATGAACAGGCATGGAGATGTTTTCCTTTCCAGCATCTTTCTGCCTTTCTCCCTGACTCTGAATGATAAAATCGATGTGAATGTCTGTCTGTGTGGTCAGGCAGGGCAAGAGCTCTCAGTGTTTCAGTCATTTACTGTGGGTAAGGGGCTAGCTGTTCTCCCACCTTTCCTGTACAGCTGTGTTTCCCTGAAGGAGGGGTTTCATTCCCATATGGAGCCAGACAAAATGCTTTTGAGAGATGGGTGGTAAAGGCGCCCTTTGAAGTCAGGAGTGATCACAGGGCTTCAATGAAAGTATTATGCAAAGGAACCAATTCCCTCTTCCTTTCGTACTGATGAAAGTTTCAATATCTGGAGGAGTAACCTAGAGGAATCTCATAAAAGGAACACTTTTGGTGTATTCTGTCAATGATGTTTTGGTCTTACATATGGGGTTTATTAGTATTTCTAAAAGTAGGTTCCAGATATAAACATTTTGATTAGAGGCAAGACACATGCATTTTAAATGTATGCTAAGTGATGACACAAAAGTGACAAAAAAAAAAACTAGATAAAAAAACCTACACAATGCTAAATGAGAAGTGATGAATTTCATTAATTAAATACCTAAATTCATCTAATTTTCAGAGCTTGTTACAAACTCTGAATTCTCTCAGTAAGAATTTCTTATGTCTTAAGGCCCAAAGATAATGTCTGATGACCACTGACACATGAAGATACAACACTACTAATGAAACATTTAAGAGGAAGTATATTGCTAGGATCATTTTAAAGCATTAGCAACAGTAAACTGCACTGATTTGTATGAATTCATTAGGATAGACTCTATCAGAAATGCTTTAGTAGTTTACTGCCACTGCTAAACCCAGGACACCTGTTAAGAGGCCATTCAAGGTTCAAGTGAACTTCAATAGTTCTATACGTACTATAAAAAAGAATTAAAATTAAAAGCAAGAATAATATCTGCTTATATAAATGAAGGAAGCTGATCTAGTTTTACATATTTTCCAAATGGGGAAAATTAACTCATTTCCATTTGGGAACAATTGACTACAAATTATTACTTATTAAAAAAAATTACAGTTAGTTTTGAGTTCTCTAAGCAGAAAAATTATTTGAAACCATAAAATGTACTTTAAATGGTTCAAAATTAGGACAGACTGATTGAAATTCAATTAATGGAAGAATATTTAATCCTTATACTAAAATCTTGGGGTCTATTTTCTCCTTTGTACATTTGTGAAGCTCTCAGCAGCATTACTTGGATGTAACTGATGAAACATATGCCCTTTCCAGCTTATGTCTGAGGCAACTGAGGCATGGACCCCAGTTGTGGTGCAACTGAAATCGTTTATTGAGCTTACAGGCTTTTATAGACCCCTGTCTAGCAGTTAGTAACTGTTAATATTGGTTAGTTTCTTTCCGGTACTTTCCACAACATCATAACGCTTTTCCCAGACAATGACATTACTGATCATGCACCTTTGCTTGAACAACTTATTTGTACCCAGATGTATAAGCACATTTTTCTGTTACCACTTTCTGCTACATTATTACTTTCCATTTTCCCTGAACACACGTTCTTTGTCCCCTCAGTCCATATTGGAGACTTTCATTAGCTCCTGGGAAAGTCCTGGGTGCAATATCTCATCTTTGTCTTCAGTAACTTCTTTGTTTCATGTCTACAGTTCTCGGACATTATCTTGGTGTTCTAAGTTTGACTCCTCTTGACTTGTCTTGCTCACTTCTCTCATGGTCTGCAGCTGTTGAGGGTCAGGATGTTCGTGCTCTCTTTCAGGTCTGCTGGAGCAGCTTCTTGTGCAACATTCCCCACATATGTCTTAATGACAATGGTGCTTACTAGAGTGTACAGAGCTGAACTGAATTCCAAGTTTGAGATCAGAAACAAATTATTCTTCTGGGTGTATGGACCAGAGTTTTTATTCTCTCTCCCTTTCGCTCTGCCTCAACAATTCCCCTTTGCCTTCGCCTTCTGTTTCCCCTTCACTTTACCATTCCCCCTCCCCTCCCCCAATTCTCCTTAGTTTTATTTATCAGATTTCCATAAGTGTGCTGGTTTGACACACACAGACAATTTTGCACATATATGAGACTAATGTGGACACCCTTACACTTTGGTATTTCCTGTTTTACTTCAAGTAGTCATTGTATGTGCGTATCAAAGGAATTGCACTTTGAAGCACTCTTCCAAAGAACAAAGCTCAGCCTCAGAAAAATGGAACAGTTTGAAAAAAGTCTTCGAAATAATAGATTCAGAAAGCTGAAATGCTTGTGACATTATGACTTGGTGAGATAAATGGCAGAATTGGTACTATGACTCTTGAAAAACGAATTACACTCCATCTCCTGCAATCATTGCTGCTCTTTCACCCCTACTTCCTTCCCAGGGAAAGTGGTGTGTTAACATCTCCTCCTGTATGGGAGGTGCTGCACTCTGGAATACAACTACAGAATCATGGAGGAGCTGCGTTCTGCATATGTTCCTGTGAAAGACCAGGAAGGTAACCTGTGAACTCTGAACAGGATGACAAAAAGCCATCATGAATGTTCCTGTTGAAGATTATGGCTAGCAGCCCATGGTGCAGACCACGGTGAGGCAGCAGTGGCCCCTGTGTCCCTGCAGCCCATGGAGGTCCACAGTGGAGCAGATTCCCTCTGCAGCCCATGGAGGATCCCCACACCAGAGCAGAGGGATGCCCAAAAGAGGCTGTTACTCCACGGGCAGCCCATGCTGGAGCAGGGTCCTGGCAGGAGCTGTGGCTCCATGGAGAGAGGAGCCCGCACTGGAGCAGGTTTGCTGCAGGACTTGTGACCTCACAGGGATCCACACTGGAGCTGCCTGCTCCTGAAAGGCTGCACCCTGCAAAAAAGGAATCCACGCTGGGCAGGGGAAGAGTGTGAGGAGTCCTCCCCTAAGAAGGAAAGAGCAGCAGAAACAATATGTGATGAACTGACCCCTACACCCATTCCATGAGCCCTGAAGGGGGAGAAGGTAGAGAAATTTGAGAGTAAAGTTGAGCTCAGGAAGAAGAGAGGAGTGGGGGAGGAAGGTGTTTTAAGATTTAGGTTTTATTTTTAGTATCCTAGGCTAATTTGATTGGTAATAAATTCAAGTTCCTGGAATTGTATCTTGCATGTGACAGTAATTGATAAGTGATCTCTCCCTGTCCTTATCTAGACCAGTGAGTCTTTTGGTATATTTCCTCTCCCCAGTCCAGCCGTGGATGGGAGTGATCGGGAGGCTTTGGTGGGCACCTGGTGTCCAGTTAAGATCAACCCACCAGACTCTTCAGTGTCATCAAATATATATTTCACTATTATTTAAAAGTTTTGCTTCATCCTTTATTCTGGCCAAAATTTACAGCGTGACATTTACACCAAAGTTTTAATTAGCTTTATTTTATTTTTGGGACTTATTAATGAATGTTTTTATGCATCACAGTGCTATGGGGTTACTGCAGCTTCTCCCCAGCATGTGATTAAGTATGCATCACTAAAGCTGTAAATTACTTTTTCCACCTACCCTAACAAAATTGTAGCTTGACATTTTTTGATGCTGATAATCAGAAAGCCAACCTGGTTAAATCCCGATGTCAGAAGGAAGAGCTGGTGAAAGCAAGGCACTCTGGTTTACCTCCCCTTACTGCTGTTTCAAAATCTTATTTTGTTGAAGTTGCTTATAAATAAACAATTAATATGTTCTTTCATTTCAAAACTATTGCTGACATTTAAGAATGAATCTTAATAAGCAGGAAGGACTATTTGTTCCTTCTCCAGTCTGGACATAATTTTTCCCTCTGTTTTAGTGAATGAAATACAAAATATTTGAATCAATCCCAAAGACTCACAAAATTTCTAGTTCATGGTCTATTTGCAGTGGCCACAGTTACATATACATCCTGTCCAGATATATCCAACAAAAGGCAAGTACAAAGGTTTGAAATTTCTCTGTGAAGTCAAGGTTTCTGCACTACTTTCCTGTGCATGGTCCTTCCAGGGACACCACATGTCATCTCACTTGGATAAGCTCATTTGGGATCCCTGGTTTGACTCCGCACTCTGTGTGAAACCAGAGCTTCTTGAGATCTGAAGCTACTTTTCCTTGCTGACCACGGTAAGGGTTCAACAAGATAAAAAGACAATGACTTTACCTTTACATAGTTTTTGACAATATAATCCTATGCAGTTTCCTCTTGTAACATTCTATCTTCGGTTCACAGGCTGGACTGCAATCTCTGAATTTATAGTCATCAACCTTGCTTTTTATTATATGGCAGTCAAGCCTTGTGCTCAATGCAGAATCATTATTTTCCTTATAGATTTTTCTATGATTCTCCTCACTACATTATCCGAGAGCTTTGTAAGTACTGCCTTTACTCTTACAATCTGCATCAGATGAAGTGTTGTTATTTTCCTTATCTCATCATGGAGAGAGATAGGTCCATTAATGGTGAAATTAAAGTGTTCAGAAGAGTGCATTAATTGTAGGTGTCCATTTTAAATGAGGGAGGAGCTGACTTTCTCAAAAGGATTAACTTTGAGCATATTACAAGGTGCACAACACAGATTTCATTGATTTTCCTAGCAGCTGAAAGTCTTCAAGATTTCCTTTGTTCCTGGTGCAAAACTATCTGTGAGCACTCACCATCTCTGCAAGTTTTCTTTTACTTGATGGCAGGTGGGCACTAGGGCATCTGTGGCTAAATTTCTCTAGAGAGTCTTTGGAGAAGGTGCCATTTAGCTAGTTCAAGGCAAATCTGGATGGTCTAATTCTTTCTTTCTCTCTTTGTTCCTCCCTCCGTTGAAACAGCATATCCACTAGGAGATAAATGAGAAGTTTATCCCTGCTGGTCATATTCACTTAGGAAATGTCAACGTAAATTTCAGTGCAGAATTTCTACAAGTGCCTTTGAAGACCTCATAAAATATTTCCACAGGAAGAAGCAAAACCAGCAGCAAAATTCCATAATTAAAAGACATTTCCACTATTCAGCTCTACAAGAACATACCTGAATAAGAAAGCACCCAGTTCCATAAACTTCTGCATGGATTTTCTTGCCTCCAGAATGTAAGAATGAGGCTCATTAATGCCTATATCTGAGGTTTGATCCCTCTGCAGTATAATAGATATTGTTATATTGTCTCTGAAGTGACAACAGGTTTCTGAAGCTAATACAGTCCTGCAGGAGCATAAACACAATTCAGAACCACTTCTTAGGGTTTCCCATGTTTCAGGGTTTAACCCCAGCTGGCAAATAAACCCTACAGAGCCTCGCTCACTTTGCTGCCAGTAGGATTGCGGAGAAAATTAGAAGGGTAAAAGTAAGAAAACTCGTGGGTTGTTGTAAAGACAATGTAATGGGTAGAGCAAAAGTCATGTACGCAAGCAGAGCAGAACAAGGAATTCATTCACCACTACCCATGGCCAGGCAGGTAGGTGTTCAACCACCTCCAGGAAGCAGGGATCTGTCATGTGTAATGGTGACTTGGGAAGACAAACATCATCACTCCCAATGTCCCCTTTTTCTTCTTCTTCCCCAGCTTTCTGTGCTGCTCATGACACCATATAGTGTGGGATACCCCTTTGGTCAGTTGGGGTCAGCTGTCCTGGCTGTGTCCCCCCCAACTCCTTGTGCACTCCCAGCCTGGTCGTTGGTGGGATGAGGAGAAGAACAGGCCTTGGCTCTGTGTAAGCACTGCTCAGCAGTAAGGAAAACATCTCTGTACCGTCAACACTGTTTCCAGCACAAATCTAAAACTTAGCCTAGACTAGCCATTATGAGGAAAATTAATTCTACCCAACCAAAACCAGCAGACCATGCTGGCATCTTAAATTGTAATCGCTGAGTCAGCTTCTATACAGCAAAATAAGAGCTACACAGAAAAAAATTGTTGTCTGTGCTTGCTAAGTGCTGCTGCCTGCCTTGTCCACCAAGATGTAGGGGCTTTGTTTAAACTGTCAAATGCTCAAATGCCCCACTCTTATCCCAATGGAAGAATATGTGGGAGCATTTCCTAAAAAAGTCCATCTACACAAAAAAACCCAGTACCTCCCATAACTTTCACTACATCTTGAATGTGCTGAGATACTCTTAAAAAGCAGTTCTAATGTCCTAAGGTTGCACACTGGATTAGCATTTGGATTTGCTTTTGCTCATAGTGATATTTGTTTAGTGGCTATAGCAATACATTTAACAATAACAAGACAGCCCTAAGAAGTTCTCACGATGAATTGCAAAAGATGAATGGGAAATCCAGGAAAGATGGACACTAAAACCAAAGTACTAACTCCCAGAAAGAAAAAAAATATTTGCATAAATTTGTGGTTCTAAAGAAAGGCTGTGGAACCTGAATTTGCATAATCTAAATGATGAGAAAAGTTGAGGAAACTAAAGAGTGCTTAGACTTGTTGGTGCCAGGTCTAGCTGTTAACTTGCACAAATCACTTTGTGAGAAAAAACCCTGTGTGCCCTGATCCTAGAGCCAGAGAAAGTACTAAGACAGATTTCCCAGGAGAAAAGCACAAAAGGCTGTCGTCTACTGGGAAACAACAGAAAAAGAAGGAAAAAGGAAAAAAAAAAGGAAAAAAAGAAAAACAAAGAAGGTCTGTGTAACAGTTTCTAGCAGAGTGACTGGACACGCTATACTGTTCTGTACTGGGGAATGGAAATACAGACTTTGGTAGTCTTGATCCATCCTTACTGCGAGTTTAGGGATCAATAGGTGAAGATGCGTCTGTTATAGTCAGCACTCTTATAACTTTATTACAACTGAAATGCCCAGGAACTGCTGAATCCTGAAGCTGACAGCGGAGTTGTTGTTGCACATCTGCCAGAAGCAGAAAGGCAGACAAGATGTGTGGACTTTGATACCATAGCAATGTGGGCTTAGATACCCTGACACTCCTCCAGTGGTTTTCTGTCCACTGCCTTCTACTGCATGCCAAAATCTATATTGCATT